AGCATGCACAGTTCAGTATATATATATTAAAGGTAATAGTAAAATGAGGCATTTGGACAGTCAGAGAAGAAAAAGAAAGGAAGAAAAAATAAAAGCCTAACGCAATTAACAAGGAAAAGGATAGAGAATTGAGAAAAAGAAATGAAAAGAAAAAATATAAATAAAAAAAAAAAAAGAAAAAATAGGAAATAATACAAATATAAAGAAAAAAAATAAATGAAATTCTGTGGACACGATGTTTTTTGTTCAGTCATATCTTATTTGATTATACTACAAGGAATCTTTTTGATTTTTTTATATATCTAAAGACTTCTTTAAAGATTTCACAGTTTTCCTCGTATGTTAAAGTTTGGCTACCCTCAGTGAGCAACTGTAGATTTATTGTCACTTGTAGACGATGAATGTTGGTTAATAGATCGTTCCTTATATCGGCGTATTTATTGCAATTAAAGAAGAAATGAAATGAATCCTCACGCGGAGCGCCACAAGCACAATATGGACTTTGTATTATATTTGATTCAAATAGGTCGTTATTTAGAAATGAGGCTGAACATCGCAGCTGTGTTAAAATTACACTCAATTTCCGCGGACCATACATAAAATGCTTAGGTACAGTCTTTGCTTCGTATGTATTATTCAACAAATAGCGTTTGAACTTAGATAGGGTATCAAGTAAACGGATAGAATTATCAAGTTTGTTCCATTCTCTGATGGACGAGGGAATAAATGCAGAATTTGTTAAGGAGAGTCGACAAAAGGGGACTATATAGTCATTGCCATTACGCAGTGGATAAACAGTTGTACTTTGTATAGTTGGGGGAATTAAATCACATAAATATTGTGGAGCGAGACCATCGTACATATTATAAAATAATTGGAGTTTTCTTCTGTGCCTCCTACTGTGAAGGGGTTCCCAGCCAGTCTCTAAATATAAATATTCGGTTTTAGTAAATATTGGCAGTCCTGTTACAATCCTCGCAGCTTGCAGTTGAAGTTTTTCTAATTTGTTTGAATAGCAAATACCACAATTGTCCCACACCTTGCAAGCATACTCAAATATAGGACGAATATATACCAGATACATTTTTTCTAAGTTCTGTCTTTTCATCTTAAATTTTAATTTTCTTAAGACTCCCAAATGCTTTGTAATATTTTTGGAAATATTTTCTACGTGCTCATTCCACTTTGCGTCCTGGGAGAGAGTTACACCTAAGTGTTTATGACTTGATGTGTTAGATATTGATCTTTCATTGAAAGAAAAACTTAAAACTTAAAAAAACCATATATGTACCTCCCCTAAATCCACCTCTTTAAAATAATGAAATAATTTTATTTTCAAACTGAATAGACTTTTTTTTATAGACTTTGCATGACCTTAGACATGTTAGAGTAGGGAATTATAAAAGAGTTGACGAAGTAAATATACAATCTTTATTAAAGACAATACTGATATATCCATTTTAATCATGTAGCTTAGGTAGTTTATGTTTTACATTAATTTATTTAACAATGTTAAATGCCCTAATATATTATGTAGCATGTATGTAAAGCAATTGAAGAATCATTCAGTGTATCAAGGATTCAAGATTTATTACAATTATTTAAAATTTAAATTAATGTGTGTCTGAATAATAAAAAATTATCCAAAGAAGGTGGCTTTACATGCATGATGCATGACATAAAAATGTTTTTTTTTCTACCAATTTAAAATTTTTAAGATTTTTTAATTCTTCCACATGAGTATAAAACGTGCTTGGTCATGTATAATTGAATAGAAAAAAAACGACAGTGCAAGGGCTGTATAGCCAGTCAAGGTCGTTAAAACTCCCATCATCATCATGATTGAAAAAAGTTATTTGGTCAATTTAGGCAGCATGTTTACACATAAAAATTAATACAGAAGCTATAGGAAATAGATTGTTTTTGCATAAGTTAAGAAGTACAATGTACGCTAATGCAATATATTTTTTAATTTTTAGTGGAAAACTTGCATGTAATTTTAGTCCCAATTGTTATACACATCATTTTACAGGAAACGCCGGTAGGCATGAAATTTGGAAATTTTATTTTTTTGAAAAGGCAGAGGGGTGCATTCTTTTACTTTGGAGGGCTGAAGGGCGGGGGTAAGGGCACCAAGGGCAGCCGCCCTTCTATTTAGGGCAGGCGGGAACACTGTCATGTTCATGGTATTTGGTAAACTTACAATCCTACCAAAGAAAATAAAGGTAGTATATGAAATGAAACAGGTACACTTATCAAAATAATTTACTGTTGAGAACTTTATAAATCTCAAAAACACTGTTTTAGCATAAAAAAACATTTAAATTAATTGTAAAAGGGAGGAAAGGGGGGGAGGGGTGACAGGTATTTGCATAACTGATTATACAGAACAGGATTTTTAAAAATTGGCACACTTTGAAAAGAAAATCATAAGGTTATATGAATAGAATAAACCTGTGAAGTTGGCCTGCTACTAATCAAACCATGCAATTCAACACTTTTAAATTAGTTATTTTTTTGGGGGGAATTTATTAAATCTAAATAAGTAATTTATGGGAACTGAAATTTGATCATAAATGAGTACTTTGGTCACAATACTGCATGTTGTTATTTATATTTATTTGAAAAATTTACCAAGATTGGATTTTATTATGCCCTGCCACAAATGTGGATGGATTATATAGATTGATACTAGTATACCTTTGTCAGTTCATATGTATGTACATCCCTTTCCAGTAAAGTTTTGCATTTATCTCTATTTCTCAGAAACTAATGGTAATATATCAGTGATATTTTTTCTCCACAGACATCTTGTATACTAGTAATGCTATACATTACTTGAGTCACTTTGACCTACATTTATTGCTTTTGTGTCTTTGGTTAACTTAAAGTCTTGTGTTTAGGATCATTTCACAGAAACCTATTGTGATATATCATCACTACAGTATTCTTTAATGATACCACACAGGTCATCAACAATTTGATTACTTTGACCTACATTTAATGGCAGGACATCCTGTGTCTTATAGACACATTTTCTATTTAATACAAATCTAATAACACACTATTTAGCCTGAAATTTTTTATGTATGTAATTTCAAAAGCATAAAACGGATAAATTGACAGATATAAAAAAAGGATTATATGGCGGGTGTATCAGGTTCAACTATCTCATGTGATAATTTTTATACATAAACAAGTACTAGGAAATAAAAGAAGAATTTGTCTATGTCAAACTTAGATATGCTCCTGTAATAATTCCATTATACAACAAACATAGAAGCTGTCCTGTGTGCTATATTTGTCAGCATTGTGTTTAAAGTTTCAAATATATATAAAAAGGTGGGATATACGGGGCATGATTGCCACTGAGAAAACTTGCCACCAGAGACCAAAAGAGATAGAAGTTAAGAGATATATGGCCTTCAACAATGAGCCAACTCCATACCGTTTGGCAAGCTATAAAACCAAATGACAAATGTAAGGCAATTCAAACATGTCAAAACAGCCTGATTTATGTACAAAACACCAATAAAATAAAAATACCTTGCAAAGTTTCATCAAAATTGGAATACTAATCTTAGAGGTCCCTGAGGTGGGATATTTATTGCAGATGAGGGATTGTCTTGTAAACTGAAAAATCAGTTTAAGTCAGGTGTCTGAGTGAGTCTCTAGGTTTCATAAAAAAGGCAAGTTTTATTACAATCAAGCAAGAGATACCAAAAAATTATCAACTGAAATCAGTGGTATTAAACAAGTGAACGAGCAGACAAAGTAAGAACTATTTGCCTCAGGGATTCCACAGTCCATATAAATATGCAGGTTCTAAAAACAAACACACTCCTATTGTAATAGATACTGCCTGATCATTTTTCAAATAGTTTGCTATTGAATTTGAACTGAAAATTTTTTTAAAATCCCAAAAATTCGTGATTTTCCATTTTGACTGCTGGTTGCCATGGCAACCAATATGCAAATGAACTGTTTGGAAATGTTATATATATTATATATGGTCTTACATGTATAGAGGGTATAACAAGTTTTTATAACCAGGTCTCTCTATATCTGGTCTCAAAATTAGAAAAATGTGTAAAAGACAGAGTTATCTCCCTTTTTGAAAAAATGCTCATTATTTTTAATGATGTACATTTTTTGTCTTAACTAGACGGTGACTTGTTGATTTTATTTTTTATTATTTAAAAAGACTATTTCAGCAACAGAAAAAACACAAACATTAAAAAATCCTATATTAGGTTTCATGAGAAATTCTTCAAAAAAGATGGCTATGCATTCATTTCCCTATCATTTCTATAGTAATCTTGAATGAAAACCAATAAACTTGAACCCTTCAAAAAAATTTAACTAGATGGTGAACCCATTTTTTTATTTTTATTTTCCACTTAATATATGATAAAGTTCATTTATAAAAAGTATTAGCCAAATCCTATATTAGATATTTATACCACCCAGCCACCTTAAGCTTCAAAACTCTCATGTTGTTAGGGATAACTGATCAGTACTGATATAAAAATGTGTCATTAGACGCAGGAAAGTTGCACATGTCATGATTTAAAGTATCCAAAAACAGTTATTAGATGTTTGACAGACCTGAAAAGTGTTTACTTATTATAAGTCAGCACTGACAAGCATCAGACCAGATATGAAATCTTTTTGTTTAATAATTCTGGAGAAATCTCTGAATAAAATACTAAGATCATTCAACATATTGAACAAATCAATGTATCAGCAAACAGAAAGTAGGTGTCTGACAGGTAACAAATGGGTTCATGAGACAGTCAGGCTACTGACTAAATATGAAGTTATTGTTAAGTTGTACCTTAGAAAACTGTGATGAATACATTTGTTGGACCTTTGACAGATGATTGAACAATGCACACACTTCTAAATGGCCAATCAAGATGATAGCAATATAGCCTTTACTCCTAAAGTACAAGATGTGTGTTTAATTAATGAACACAATAAAACAATGTGGTACTTACTGACACAATCAATGTATTGTTTGCATGAGCTACTGATATACTGTCTTGGTTCAAAGGTATCTGGGCCCTCAGCATATCAGGAATGTCAAACTTTTTGTAATACCTACAAATAAAATCAGCACATGCAAATTAATTAGGGATCAGATTTTTGGAATCATTAAATGTGTAATAAATGTTTTTATTACAGTTTTGTGTCAAATTGTCTTCAAAAAAAAATAATCAACTGCTATATTTTAACTAAAATTCCCATTTTACACATAGTCTGAGGACAAATTAATTATAAATAATTAACTCATATCAACATGATCAACATGCTTTAAGTTTTTGCTCTTTTTAACTTATGACAAGATCTAACTAGAAGCTCCTAGGAGCCTATATTGCTCGCCTGCCATTTTTGTATAATTAATATTGGTAGAATGCATTCAGAATATTTCTGATAGTTTCTGGCAAAAAAGCAAAAAATGGGGAAAAATTTCATACAAGGACAGTAACTCCTATAAAGATATCAGCCATATTGTCATGTTAGGAGATCTTTGATAAAGTTTCTTGACTGGAGTAGCAGGGCCTGTACATAATTATCAGATATTTATATATATGGTGTTTGGACCTGAAGATATTGGAAAATATCTGGACTATTAATACATGGACAGTAATATACATCTGGACTATAGATACTTTGGCATTGAAAAGGTTTCTGACTGATCCTATTAGTCGGTATGCAAATCTGGACTATGGAAACTACGGCAGTGATAAAGTTTTACACTGGACCCATAGGTAGGATAACACATTTGGACTATGGGTACTTGACAGTGATAAAGCTTCACACAGGACCTTAAAGTATGGATACGAATTTAGACTATAAATACTTGAACAGTGATAAGGTTTCACCCTTAATCTATAGAAATAGGTACAAATTTAGACTATAAATACTTGAACAGTGATAAGTTTCTATGATTGGAACAAAATATAGGGGTACACATCTGGACTAAATACTTAGACAGTAATGTGGTTTTTATGATTTGTCCTGCAGGTCAAGGCAGCCATTACAAATGCATTAAGACTGTACAAACTTACTTTTTATTAGTTGTTCTAATGACAATATTTTTCTTATCTTCATCAACAGTTACATTGTAGGTTTCAATAGGAAAGGGAAGATTTCTCACTCTGCCTATAAATGCTGTATTACTATCTTTTCTCACAAATATTGGCTGCAAAAAACAAAATATGTTCAAAAGAAAAACTTTATGTAAATGTACCGTTAACCATGTATACAATCAGATTATTTTATCATTGAGAATTAAAAAATAACATTAATTATATTCTATGAAAATATGATGATGTGGTATGATTGTCAAAGAGAAACCTATTTAACTAAAGACTAAATGAGTAGATGTAAGCAACTATAGGTCACTGTACAGCTTTCAACAATGAGCAAAACCCATACTGTGTAAGCAAGCTATACAAGACCTGAACAAGACTATATGTTAATAATTTCAAACAAGAAAACCAAAGGCCAGATTTATGTACAAAGCAATAAACAAAAATAAAATGTGACAGATAACCAAAGACAACCACTGAATAACAATAAAAAAAATCATTGATCTATCACAAGTAGTTCCTATCAAACTAACTTAAGCAGAAAAACTTAACATTCAAAATTGCTAATTAATTCAAAGTCACTGGCCCATGTCCTAGGGGGCAGGGCCTGGAAATAGTCGTCAAACTGATATGTACTGATAGTAATTGCAACTTTATCGAAAATATTATTGATCTATCAAAAGTAGATCCTATCAAGCTTATTTAAGCAGAAAACTTAACGCCATCCCCAAGGCCAAAAAAGCAGTGTTTACTTATGTTGAAAAAGTCTAGTGTGTGTGTTTGATTTATGTTACTCAGTGCAATACATGTGCAATTAATACAAATAGACAGAGAAAGTATTGGTGAAAAGTAAAATAGCAAAAATACCGAACTCCAAGGAAAATTCAGAACAGAAAGCCCTTATCACTTTCTGTGAGACCAGCAGATTATAGATTTTTGAGATCATCTTAGCCTACTTACATTAGACAAGACTTTCCATGAGGCTAGCAGATTCTAGATTTTTGAGATCATCTCAGCCTACTTACATTAGAAAGACTTTCCATGAGACCAGCAGATTCTAGATTTTTGAGATCATCTCAGCCTACTTACATTAGAAAGACTTTCCATGAGACCAGCAGATTCTAGATTTTTGAGATCATCTCAGTCCACTTACATTAGAAAGACTTTCCATGAGGCCAGCAGTTTCCAGATTCCTGGGAGCTAACTGTTCACCAATTTCATACTCCCATTGCTCAGAGCTTTGTTTTGTTGCAAAACTGTTCAGTTTCTTTCTCCATTTTCTAACTGTTATTGAAAGAAAAGTTTCATTCTGTTTTTCTTGTAAGAATTTTTAAACATTTCATAGTATTATACACAAAAAAGATAACAAGATCATATGTTTTTTTGAATAAATCTGCAGAAACAATAAAAATATGAAAAACTCTTAAAAAAAAATTGCAACAGTAATGTGTGATTCCACTTAAACTGGCATAAGGCCATGGTTTTTTAAATTGTTAGTTTACTGATTTTTAAGGTGAAAGATTCTGGTTGGTCAATGGATATATCAATCTGAATGGACGAAAAAAATTCTTACAACCTATGAAACAAGAAAATTCTGTTACTTTTACTTAATAACTTACCTTTTAGACTAATCCATTTAATATAAACTGTTAAAACAGAGATATGTCTCGCCTATTTGTTATTTTGATAATGCAAATGTTGAAATTAAAATAGCAATACTTTAACATGTAAGTTATGCAAATATTCAAAGTCAATGAACCATGACTGAAGGTACAGGGCTAAACAATCTCCATGGAAATGAGATGTGCCAATGTTAATAAAACTGTAAACCAAATACCATGGTCTTTTCGTAAGTCGTTCCCTTTAAACAAACCTAAACACAAACATTAATTTGTAAACTATGTAAAAGTTTCAAAGTCAATGAACCGTAATTAGGGGGTGGGGTTATATAATCTCCATGGAAATGAAACTTGCCAATGCCAATACATTTGCATACCAAATATCATTGACTTTACATTAGTGGTTCATCTTAAACTGACCTAATATAATCACAAACTAATACATGAAAACTAAGCAAAAGTTTCAAAGTCAATAGACCATGAATGAGGGGGCGGGGCCAAATAATCTCCATGGAAATGCAATATGCCAATGCTTATACAACTGCATACCAAATATCATTGACCTATCACTAGTGGTTCCCCATAAACTGACCTAATCACAAACTTAATACATGTAAACTAAGCAAAGTTTCAAAGTCAATAGACCTTGACTGAGGGGGCGGGGCCAAATAATCTCCATGGTAATGAGATGTACCAATGCTTATACAACTGCATACCAAATATCACTGACCTACCACTAGTGGTTCCCCATAAACTGACCTAATCACAAACTAATACATGTAAACTAAGCAAAGTTTCAAAGTCAATAGACCTTGACTGAGGGGGCGGGGCCAAATAATCTCCATGGAAATGAAATATGCCAATGCTTATACAACTGCATACCAAATATCATTGACCTATCACTAGTGGTTCCCCATAAACTGACCTAATCACAAACTTAATACATGTAAACTAAGCAAAGTTTCAAAGTCAATAGACCTTGACTGAGGGGGAGGGCCAAATAATCTCCATGGAAATGAAATATGCCAATGCTTATACAACTGCATACCAAATATCATTGACCTATCACTAGTGGTTCCCCATAAACTGACCTAATCACAAACTTAATACATGTAAACTAAGCAAAGTTTCAAAGTCAATAGACCTTGACTGAGGGGGAGGGCCAAATAATCTCCACGGCAATGAGATGTGCCAATGCTAATACAACTGCATACCAAATATCATTGACCTACCACTAGTGGTTCACCATGAACTAGACCTTATCACAAACTAACACATTGTTGACACCGCCGCCACCACTGACGCCGGAAACAGCATACCTATGTCTCGCTTTTTGACTCCGTCAAGGCGAGACAATAAGGATGAAACAGCTTATCCCAAAATGATTCAATATAAAATCTTGTGGAACTACAACTAAAAAAGAAAACAAACTTTTTGTAAAGGGCTATTAACATGTAGGCCCTTGGGAACAGGATTTGGATAATTTTTTTCATTATTTGCAATAAATTTTCAACACAGGGGTAAAATAGTATACCCCTCCTTCAGAGCAGGATTGTAAAAATAGGAAATAAGTTTTATGTGCCATGCTATACATATGTACCTAATAATTCATCTGTTCTGACATCATATTCCTCAGCCATCTCATTACCATCAGGAAATGTAAAATGCACCTTTTTTCTTCCTGGAATAGTTATAAAAGTATATGCTGAAATTACGTTACGTTATAAATGGTCATCCAATATTCTTTGTAGTAAAATTGGAAAATATTACTAGATATAACTTGCTACAGATGAACATCTTATACCATGTATACAATGTTGTAGAAATAAAATGGAAAGGGCTCTATTACTTGGATAAAATCAAGTCACAGTGAAATAAAACAGCCAAATAAAAAAAAATCCCCTTTTGAGGCTAATAAAATAAACCTATTGGTTCCTATTTCAATCTAAAGGTACTAACTGTCGAAAATCATGGCAGCCTTTTCAGATATCATATGATTTTCAACATGTTCAATAGAAACAAACTATTCTTTTCACTTTCCTTCTGAATGGTTTTTTCTCAGCTATGAAGCTTACAATCAACAATTTTTAAAACCCAAGAACCCCACCCCAAACATGAATTTATAACATAAATATAAGACTATATATAATTATATTTTGTTTTATTCCATTTTATTGTGTATATCTTAGTAATATATAGCAACCAATGAAAAGTTAAAATAAATGACTATTACAAATGTACATTACAAGCATTTTCATTTACAATATTATTCCCTTAATGAAGAATTCAACTAAAAATAGTTTATTAATTAAAAATATTTCAGTGGTATAAAGAAAAGTTTAAAAACATACTCAAATCAGAAAAATATTTAAGTTGCAAATGATAGGATAATGTTAACAAAAATTTAGAGTAAGTTTAGTGCTCATATCCTCAAAGTAAGAGATTGTAAGTTACATGTATATAGTGATGATCATGAAAGAATAAGTACTTAGGCATTTTAGGAGCTGTCTCCTTTATAAATGAATTTGTGTGTTCCAAGTATAATTTACATTGCTGTTCATTACCAATATTTCATAGGCATGTGTTAAGTATGGACTGTAAAAAAAAAGAAAGATAACTCTAATTTTCTTGATTTGTGTTCAAAATTATAAGGGGAAAATCTTTTTTGAGCAATCTCTGAGTAACATCAAGTCATAAAGAATGATTATTCATTAATATGCTCTTAAAGGGAGCATTAATCGTATATTATAGGAGGGCTAATTTGGGGTCTATATACTATGGCCCTGAAATAGCATGCTGGCATGACGGTTGATTTTAAATTTCAGAAAGTATAAAAAAAGATATGGTATGATCGCCAATGAGACAACTCTCCACAAGAGACCACATGACACAGAAATTTACATGACACATAAGGCTTGTTTTGGATGTTCCTCAGAAAATGCTACATACATTTCATGTATGGCGATTATGTGTAAGAATAAGTTTTTGGTAAACAGGAAGACGAGGAGAAGGAATCTGAAAATAAATCCCACAGTATTACAGCTTCGGTCGACTCTTTTACACCCTAATAAAATTATATAACGTAGCATTCAAATTCTTAAATAACTCTTAAAAACAAAATTAATGAAAAATGAACATTAGAGTTGTCTTTTTGACATTGTTTTACATCTTGTTTATTAATATTGTATTTATATTGTCTCATAGATCAAATTTATTCATTCGGTGTATGTTTACTTGTTTTTGTTTATATGTCTTTTTGATCGAGTTAAACCATTTCAACTGATATTTTATAGTTTGTCTTTTTATGTTGTAATGTTACACTACTGTTTCATGTTAAGGTGAAGGTTGGCGCCTGTTAAAACATTTAAACCCGACCGCTGCATTTGTATGCACCTGTCCTAAGTCAGGAGCCTGTTGTTCAGTGGTTGTCGTTTATTGATGTGGTTCATAAGTGTTTCTCGTTTTTTATATATAGATTAGACCGTTGGTTTTCCTGTTTAAATCGTTTTACACATCATTTTGGGGCCCTTTATAGCTTGCTGTTCAGTGTGAGCCAAGGCTCTGTGTTGAAGGCTGTACTTTAACCTATAATTGTTTACTTTTTACATATTGTGACTTGGATGGAGAGTTGTCTCATTGGCACTCATACCACATCTTCTTATTTATATTAAGATCCTACTGCTTAAATACAAAACAATCAATAAAGGTTACAAATGAATAATAAAAATGTATATATATCAATGATTCATTGGTGTCAGTTAGTTTTGTCTGTAACCTCCCAGCTCTCTGGGGTGCTCTGATTAACAGAGGATTCAACGTACATTCAAATATAAAAGAAAAGATACTATTGTAGTCTTTTAACCCTTTGGCCGTGCTAGGGACATAAATGTTCCTTTTCAGAAAACAGGGCTAGCGACATGTCCCTGGTTAGAATATGACATCTAAAAATTTCCAAACAACCTAAACATGCTAAAGGTTATTTACAAACTTTTGCTACTTGAATAATATATATTCAAGGATCCTTTAATTCAAACCAATAACTATATAACACCATAATGAAAATTACATGTACATGTATGACGTCAGAAAATGTAGTATGAATAGATTTTCTGAAATTCTTTGCGCAACATAAATGTCAGATTAATTCATTGAAGGAAACAACGGGTGCATGACAAAATGGACAACTCGGACCATCAACAAAAACAAAATCTCAGAACGTCGATGAAAACAACTCTGAACGTCAATAAGTCAACTTAGACAAAGTTTTAAAGAAAAGTTTTAACAATATAAATGATTGAATGAGAGTCTACAAAAAAGACAACTCAGACAGTCTATGGAGACAATTGGGTCGATACAGACCAATCAAGATCACAACTTTTTTTGTGTCGACATGCATAGATCGGTAGAAATTTGGATTCACATTAAACAAATTATTTCAAAATCAAGGGCAGATTATAATATTGAATTTGATAGGACAATTTGTGTTTTAGGGATTTTTCAAGAAAATCAATTTATTATAAGGCCCTATTTTTATTTCACATTTCGGAAGTATTTATGAAAAGCAATTCTCTCATTGAATTTTAACAAATTCTATCGTAAAATGTTTCCTCAAAAACGAAAAATTATGTTTCCCCTATATAACGTTTAACCCATATCATTAAATAACTGTGATTGCGTTAATTTCAATGTATTTTAACGGAAACCCTAGCCTAGGTCTGTGACCCCCAATTTTTATATTGAAATTTTGAAGTACATTGATCTAGAAGTCTTTTACAGAGGTTTAAGAAAAATCTATTGTCGAACATTAAGACACCCCAGCTACCTTAATACTTTGTCTGGGATGACATTATAGACGGTCAAAGTTGACTTTATAGATTGTCTGAGTTTACTTCATATATAGTCTGAGTTGTCTTATTTGTTGGTCCAAGTTGTCTCCCGGCCAAGTTGTCCCATATTTAACATAACATCATTCTAAACAGTGACATGAATCTTTTTTATAGAAAATCTCTGATTTAGAAAGGAGTACCACTAGTACTAGAACAAGTAAGCCATAACATTATTTTTTTGACCAATTAAATTTTTCAGTCAGACATACATGTAATTCGCCATTACAGAATCTAAAGGACTATGCATGGGTTTCCTACCCAAAATGAAAACACTGTAACATCATTGGATGTCACTTGAAGGGATTTTAACCAATCACAACTTTTTGGTGTATGCTTTTGAAAATATTACCCAAAATTCATTAAATTCTGCAGAGGAAATATCAGACAGAAACTTCAGACAGTTTGGCATAGGCTGCATGGTGTTTGTGTATATTTTTTTTTAAATCTCAGCTCGCACATGTGTTAGTGCAAATAATCATAGACTCTTGAAAGGCTATTTTAATTATTGATCTTCCAATTGGTGCTTTTTCCTGGAAAAAATTTTAGGTCACAAAGGCAAATATCTTTTAAGTCGCAATGTACTACAACATATTTTCCCCCAAATTACTACAGGTCAGCCAGGTCATTTCATCCATACAATCGAAATTGGAATCTTGTGTATTGTTTGCTTTGACACCTAGGAAGGCTTCACATGTACAGCAAACAATTAAAATAGCCTTTCAAGACGTCATAATTATTTGGAATAGCACATGTACATGTACATAACTGCAGATTAAGGTTCATCATAACCTTTTGGCTAATATGGCTGTATTTAGACCACAAATTTTACTCTGAGAACAGACAAACCTGTGTGCCTGGAAAAGTTTTAAGGCATGGTAGGAACTGGATGATTAAAATAGGAAATGCATTTTATGTCTCAGAAAATTATAAACTTTTCTGGATTTTGAGATTCCTTTTGTTTTCGTTCCCACAGAAGGTGTCAATATAAACTTAAGTTTGGAAAAATGTTTTGAGATGTTCCCCTATGTAAATAATTGAAGTGAATTGTATTGTTAACTGGACAATAGATGGAAAATAGATATCTACACAACAATAGGTGATTTAAACTGTAAATTAGTGGACCATATCAAATGAAACTCAGGCATTTGTTTATTCTATATCACCTTCTGCAGGCTGAAAAGAAGAAGAAATCTCCAATTCCAGGTGTTTAATTTTCTGAAACATAAAATGCATTCCAATTTTACTTACGATGCAGTTCGCTAAATCTGCCCACTTAAGGCTTTGATCGTATGTATTTCTGCTTAATTATATACAAATTTAATATAAATCGATTCACTGACATATCAATTGTGAGTAGTATATCTCATTTCCCAAAAAATATCTGAAATACATTTTTAAATCAACAAAACAAGTGGGTCATCTGTGTTTTAATCTGAAATGTGTTTGTCTGGAAAATCCGCCCATGCACAGTAAATATGTAAGGAGGGCCAGTTGATCACACATTTATGAAAGGAAAAGGTGATCTATTAATAGACCACTTATAAATGGATTCCAGATAATCCCAAAAAGAAAAAATTTCAAGTCAGAAATGTGTTTTGTAAGCAATAATATTATTATCATTAGCTTTAGGAACTGTATCATATACATCACTAGATATTTTCGTAATAAAGATTTTTCTTTAAAATTTGACATGCAGCAATGATAAGTACAGTTCCTATGAATAAAATAGCAGACGAAATATTCTTGGAAGAGACAAATACGGAAGTAAATGGGAGTGGGCCGGTTTACCTGACAGGCGGAATAACCGGACACTACTGTACATGTACCTAGTTCCTGCCATGCCTTAAAACTTTTCCAAGTGCACAGGTTTACCTGTACTCAGAGTAAAATTTGTGGTGTAAACACGACCATATTTTTCTGATTGATTGATTGGTGTTTAATGCCACTTTAAACACTATTGTGCTATTTCATGGCGGTCAGTTTTTATTGGTTGAGGAAGCCAGATTGCCCGGAGAGAAACACCGACCTTGATTAGGAAAACTGCCAATCCTAATTAAGATTGGAGTCGAGTGCACCTGCCCAGTGCGGGATTCGAACTCACAACCTTAGTGTTGACTGGCTAGTGATACAGTAGTTGGACTACTTAGCCACCGAGGTCCGAGGCCCCCTATACTTTTCTGAAGAACCTTAACAAACCTTATTAAGTTGAACATTTCCTTAATTGGAATAAGTCATAAGATAAAATAACTAATGTTCTAATGATATTCTTCTATGTTGCAAGCTTTTATGGCTTACCATCCTGTAGGAGACAAGTTTTTTGTGCACTTCGAAGTTTCTCGATCCATGTGGTCGCCATGTTGTTTATAGTAACACGAAAGACTTACAAAAAATGGAAATAACCTACAATTATAAAATAAAAAAAAAACTTATTTATTTGCCAAAGTAGACGACTATCAAATTCGAGCATTTCAATGTCCCTCCTGGTGCTTTATATCTTGATCTACTTACATTATTACGTCACATGTACCAGCTGGTTTTGGATACATGTCAACTCGTATCTTCGGCAACTCGTACTCAACCAACTCGTACCCGGGCTCGTACCCTATTTTTACCAACTCGTACTTCTACCAACTCGTACCTAATATTTTTTAGCATAATACTTCTCTATGTTTATTTCTTATCTAAACAAACCCGTTCTAATTTTATCCACTAATGATCAATAATGATTAGTATATTGTATGATCATAATTATTTAATATGCCAACTGAGGATTTGTATAGTATACAAATCTTTGATACTAGTATAGACTGTCCCTGTTTTAAACATTCATTGTAATCATTGTATATAAATTTAATGTAAACATTCAGCTCAGCTTTGGGCGCTGTGATTATCAATAAAACATTATTCTTTTCTATTCATTAAGAACCGATTCTTCGTCATTCACGTTAACTCGCAGGCACTTGCCTCTGAACAATAATTTATGACACTGAGCTATTGACGACTTTCGAATTCGTGCTCTTTCCTGTACATATCCAACGTAACAATGCTTTTGTCACAATAAGAACCGATGAAGTCATTTCGGTGTAACTCATTTATAAAAAATGGTGTACACGACACAGGCACGTATTGCCTCTGATAGAAAATCTGGAGCGTAGCTAGGTATCCAATAAACTGTAGGCACAAATTGCGGCAGGGGGTCTGTTGGCTGCTCAAGGCCCCCATCAGGTCCAGGGTAGAGCCCTGGTAGGGGGTTCAGGGTTCGCTCCCCGGATGGAAAACGGTTTTCAGAATTTTTGTTGCAAGTTTTGTGTAATTTTATCATAATATACATGAAGAAAAGTTCAAAGAATTATAAATAATTCGACAATAACATCTGACTGATGAATTTACGCAGTACAATCGGAAATCTAAATAAAAATTTACAATATACATTGCCAAGCGTAGCCCTTTAATTAAGCAATACATCCTGTTTAGTATTTTCATGTCTATTCCTTTCTGATTGAGGATAATTGATATATGTACGTCAATTGATAGTACATTTTGACAATCCTTCACTAAATAGGCACGTAAACACTGAGACTCCTATATAATAATACTATCCTTTGAGCTAGGCATCGACCATTCATCTTTTGATTCTTAAACCTTCACTCTCCCCGGCCACACAAACACATACACACACACAGTCGATGCCTAATGAAGCCAGAAGTTCGGTTCTGTTCATACTATCTAACAAAATTAAAGAAATTCATATTTTCTGATATCCTGTACTGTAAAATTCCGACCTAAGGAACTTGAATGACTATGGTCATTACACGTTGATCTGAGAGTACTCGACGTTACTGAAAGCTAGCCGATTAATTGATTGCTAAACGTCCAGTGGCAAATAGTTCATGCATGTTCAGGACAAAAACACATTTACAATTAATACAACAGGTAGGTCCTGTAATAGGGGTAGTCCAGGATGAAGGTCTGGAAATCTGGAAATGCTAATGGAAAATGAGGGTTTATTGGATAGGGACAGAACTTTTGCCTTTCAGCAGACCACCTACGGACCCCTCAATGAGTTGCTGCAAGTGTTCTTAACGTGCAGAGAGCGTGACATTCTCTCTACACAAGGCATCGGATTTAACGTCCCCATTCTGTCCAGACGTGACCAGTGGCGGATCCAGAAATTTTCATAAGAGGGGGCCCACTGACTGCCTAAGAGGGGACCCGCTCCAGTCATGCTTCAGTGATTCCCTATATAATCAACCAAATTTTTCCCACAAAAGGGGGGGCCCAGGCCCCCTGGAAAACCCTCTAAATCCGCCCCTGAGTGACTGCGTATTTATACATCCCGCACAGTCAAACGGACGCCCCACTTGGCAAGCGTTTTATTGTAGGTCGGATGAAGACCAAGTGGAAAGCTAGTTGAAAGCCAACAACAACTAACAAAAAAATCATGCATCTAAGAATAAAATGTCAGGGTTTTGAGCATGTTGAGGTTCATTCATGTATTTGTTGATAGAAGTGAAATGATCTGAACCAAAGTTCTAATATTATGTACATACAATTCTATCCAATACTCCGATCACTAGGGATGATAGACTAGTGTACAAATGACATTTGATAATTAAAGAGTTTTGACGACTTCACGTGCATCTACAGATAACGTTGTCATTATCTTTTTTATTTGATAAAAAAAATATTTGTGAAAAAATTATGTGTAGGCACGTGCCTAAAGTGCTTAACGGCAGCTACGCCTCTGAAAATGTAGACAAATTTCAGGAAAATTTCAAGTTTTGGCAATTGGCAAAATAAAAATGGACTAAAATATTAATTTGACATGGCAGATAACAAAAATAAATGTGAAAAGAGGTCAAATAAGTGAAATTACCCCCTGTGGACTATTTTTGTGATCTAGTACGTAAAATTCAGTCGTACCAAACAGCTGTTTGTTCTCTGATATCACTGCTGGTGGACGTGCGTCCCCGAGCATATTACTTTCCCAGTAGCCAGCACTTTGTATTGATTGACATGAAATAACTTTGATAATGGAATTTTCTGAAAATTTTCTGTTTTAAATTTTTGATTTATTGAAACACTAAGGATGTTTTACCTCAGGCTCAGATGGCCAGGTATCGGGTCCGTTCGCCCTGATTACATGTTCGCCCATAGAGTCCGTTCGACCTGGGTTCGTTCTCCCTACTATTATTAAAAATATTAATATTAAGGGTATTAAAGTTGAATAAACTTATCAAGTTCAGATATCTATATGGTATAAATTCCTGAAATTCATGAAAACACATGGAAATATTTAAAACTGATGATGGCGCGTTCAAAGTTGGAGCATCAATCATTGTTCATAATAATAATTCTCACTGATTGTTGTAATAATTGTCTTTGATGATTAATTATCAAAACAACCATTTGTTTTAAAAAACTAGTCAGCTTGGAATGAGTAAATTCAATGATGTACGAATTGTAAAACACGAAAAGGATTTATAAATTCATTTATTATCATACTGCATAAATTGACTGACTAGAATGATTTTAAAAAATCGTTAACAAATATCAATAAAGATAAATACATCGTATTCCAGTATTCTACTATGCAAATCAATAATTATTTGGTTGCAGCAATACAAATATTCGGCGAATTTTTCAACAAACTTTAACGTACTCTGTTCAAATAATAAACATTATGCAACTAGACAACAATAAAATAAAATAAAAATCAGGGCGAATGGACTCTGGGCGAACAGGTACTAGGGCAAAACGTGAATCAGGGCGAACGGACCCGGATTCGGATGGCCTTAGCCGTATTTTGACACATTTTGTTCTGGAAGTTTTGGCTAAATTGCCATGCTCTTCAACTTCGTGTTTATTTGGCCTTTCAGATATTTCTATTCGAACGCCTCTTTCGGTGTCTTATGTAGACAAAACGATCGTCTAGCGTAAGAAATTATAAGCCTGGTATCTTTGACGATATTTTTCAACCACTGGGTCGATGCAACTATAGATTTGTGTCCGTTTCATCCCCATCAGTAGTCAGTACTTGGTGTTGTCAAGACATATCATAGATGTGGTCATTTTTTTTTTGTAAATTTTCAGTCTATAAAATATTGAAATATTGCTTACACGAAAGTTTTCTACTCAAGGCATAGATGGTCTGAGTCGTATTTGGCACCGTTCAGTTTTCTGAATTGTTTGGCTTGCAATATTTTCAACTTTGTTTGGATCGGCCTTCCATATTTTTCTATTTGAGTGCCACTGGTGAGTCTTATGTAGAACTTGAGAAACGTACGTCTAGCATAACAAATTGTAAGTCTAGTATTTCATTGGGTGCATTTGAATTGTTGTCTCAATTGACGGATACCCTCATCTCTTTTATTTATGAATGATATATATGTAGGACTCAAAACTTTGGTGGGTTCCAGATCTATAGCAAATATGACGTCACAAACACCATACAAATCATAAATCTATGGCAGTTTTATGTTTTCTCCAAATCTATGGCAGATTTTGAAATTGCGTAATTGTCCATGGAAGAGAAAACTATAGCGTCACAATTTAAATAACGTCATATTACCCGGGACTCACAGAATTTTACAAACAAATACACAGCTAGGGAAACACTTTCCGTTTCCCCTCTTGATGGTTTACAGGAAGATATGGCATTTCAACCAGAGGAGAGACATTATATGCTGTGCCGTCCTAATCCCGCGATGAATAAAGGCAACACTATTTAGCGAATATTTCAGGAAAGAAATTATATAGTTAATAGTTTAGCATCTACGACTTGCAAAGTACATAAAGTGAGGGATGAAATTACAGGATACCACTCTGACTTAAATTGTTTTCAGTTAAAAAAGATTTATTAAAACCAAAATAGATATTATATAAAAAGGCAAATTGTTTAATTCTTTTTATTCAAAATGCATTTTGGTTTGTTAATGGACTTCATTTTGACTAGTTGGTTAAATGACTGGGTAAAACAATTACCGTGTATAGAGTAGGGAATGCTTATCCTCCCGGGGCACATCATTTCACTTCTAAAGTTTGTTTCAGTGTATATCACTTCCTCACTTAGGAAATATTATGGTCGCCATCACAATTTGGTTGACCATTATGGAAGGTCCAATTCACAGACGGTTATGAATATGCTCCCGTTGTCGTACTCCTTATCCGTTTTTCTAATACTGACTAATGATTACTAAAGGCTTTTTCGTTACCTTTGGACATTGCTAGGGGTGCCGCATTTATATCATGCCATAGATTTGGAAACTAGAAAATCCGCCATAGCTTAGGTCACTACAAAATTTCCAATAGATTTGCATTTAAAAAATCTGCCATAGATTTGGAATGGCATGACGTCACATTTACCATAAATTGGGAATCTGCTATAGATCTGCGACTCTTTTCACAAAAAATCTTAAGAGTAAAAATACTCGTAAGTCATACACATCATAAGATTTTTTGTGAAAAGAGTCGCTGGAACCTGCCATGGATGTGAGTCCTACATATATTCTGTGGAAAATCGTATAAAAAATCTTAAAGCATGTTTTTGAGGTGCGTCGAGGGATATTTTCATGCGAGTAAATAATATTTATCTCGAGGACAAAGCAAGACGTTTCCTCATATAAAAAGAACAAAAACTTTTGATTAATCTACAAGCTTATGAGAATGCGATAGAGTTATAAAAAAACAAGATTTAAGTTTTGAATATTCCTTCGGTTGATTATTTTGAGAGTGCATTTTTTGTCCTTTAAACTACTGTAATAGAAATTGACATTCTATCATATTATCATTAGATACTCCAAAGTTATATACGCAATCAAACGAATATAATTCAATGACATTTTCTTTTACCTAATATACGTTCCATTGACGAGGGTCCGGATGGGGTTTACAGAATAGAGAATAATGGACAAAAATGCAGAATAAAGGGTAAAACAGATAAGAATAGAGAAACATAGGCAAAAATAATAATGAATATAGAATAATTGGGTGTAAAAATATTTATGGAATAGAGAATAATGGGCAAAATAAATAAAGGAATAGAGAAATAAAGGACCCACCATCCAGACCCTAATAGACTAACGAAAAGCACAATATGGAATTAATAAACTCATCATATACACCAGACTTAAAATTTTGTACGTCAGACGTGTGTTTCGTCAACAAAAGATACATTAGTGATAGTGACACCAGAATAAGAAAAGTTAAAAAGGCCGAAAAAAATACGAATTTGAAGGGCATTGAGGACCCAAGATTCCGAAAATTTTTGCCAAAAACAGCTTAGGTAATCTATTTCTGGGGTAGAAAATTCTAAGTATTTTTAAGTATAAGTTTTTTATTTATTTCATTCTGCGTAGAAAAGAATTGACAATGTAAACGTTTCATGATCGTTGACTACATTTAATTTTTGTTCACTGCATCCATATTTTCACTAAAAACAAAACATCTACTTCATGTAAATTTTCATGACAAGGAAGTTAACATTTTGGATTTGATTGGATATTAAATAGTATCACATGCAAGTTATTGATATACCAACATTTAAGTTTTTGTCAAAAGTGTAGGTTTGACCTGCCACAACTTTACCTGTAATGCGATAACAGGTAACAACATTTGTACTTAGATTTAAATTAAACATAACAGTCCAAGGTATACCGAAATACTGGGATTTATACTTCCTTATATGAAAAGAATGTGGTTTTTACCCTTTAGTCAATGGTAAGAAATTTATCAATTATTTCGAAGATTTTGAGAAGATTTATTGAAAAGAAACAACTTTTCCCATTTCCTTGTTGAACGTAGGTCACATATTTTCAGTCATGTCTAGTTTCTACAGTACCAAAACAAAAACTATACCATATGATGTAGTATTGACTATAGGGACTTTAACAAAACAACTGTAATATCACAATGATCATACACTATAAATAGATTATAATTTTCATTTTCAATGATTAGCAAATAATTTATAAATCTATGTTTGAAATTGTAGTTATTGTTTATTTACAATATTTATGCTGGTTATTTCAACAAACAACTTCCTTATCAAGAATAAACTTTTATTTGTTCAACATACATGTTGGGTTCAGCCTCTCAAGTACTATTAAGATAGTCATTAAGTATTGAAATACTTAAATGAAATTAGTCATGTAGTTATATTTTTAGAACGGTAAAATTTGATGATGTACCAAATGTAGGAGGGCTTTACAGGTACAGATTAAACAGAAAATGATTTGACAGAACAAAAACATTTGTGTTTACATGTATATGTATTGGTTGTGTGTACATACATATTTTGTAATTATAATGTTCAGATTTGGCAACATTTTAAAAATTGTATCGACATGATATGAAAGAAGGAAGGATTACGACAACTGATCATTCGTCGTTTTCACGTTCGGGTTTTTATACACGAGGTTGTGGACGGGGGGTCCTTCATTTCTGTATTCTCTAATTTTTTAGGCCATTTTTCTCAATTCTTTATAAATTTTGCCTGTGATTCTCTATTCTTTATATTTTAGCAACCCTTGTTTCTGTATTCTTTATTTTTTTAGCCCTTTATTCTTTACATTTTGCCCATTATTCTCTAATCTGTATACCCCATCCAGATCCTCACACATGTACAAGTTACATTCAACAGTATCATTCGGTCATTTACATGATCTGCTTACCCTTCTGATTGTCCTAGTATGATGATCCCCAGATTTTGGTTTGATTCGTGTTGCCCAGTCTTAAGTTATCTAGGTAGTGTCCTAGCCTGAGATGACCCCAAGATTTCGGTTTGATTCGTGTTGCCCAGTCTTAAGTTTTCTAGGTAGTGTCCTGAGATGACCCCCAGATTTTGGTTTGATTCGTGTTGCACAGTCTTAGTTTTCTAGGTAGTATTTTGTTGACTTATTTGTTTTTTCGTCGTCTGTCGTTTGTTGCCATGGCGTTGTCAGTTTGTCTTCAACTGGTGAGTTTTAATATTTCTCTGGTATAGTTCCTGTTTCTTTTTTAAATTTTAAATAGCTATATATTTTTCAGTCTCTGGTGGTTAGACAAACTAATTTTCAAATGGTGATGCTGATGGGAAGTACGATGTTGGTGATAGGTGAAGTCTGTTGTACTGTCTCATATTTTCCTGTTATTCTTTTCGTGTATTATATAAAATCGTTTCGGACTTTTGAACAGATTTTGATAGAATTAACACGATTGTTGTCACTTGTGTATCAGGACCTGCTGAGCTTTGCGGAATACATCAGTTAAAACTGCGATTTTTCATAGGGTTCGCGTCGCTCTTTCTTCAGCTATCTGCATGTGTAGTTTTTGTGAACTGTTTTTCTTTTCTCTTGGTCTTTTTTTTATTCCCATAGTGTTTCTGTTTTTCTAGTTGTAGTTTTCGATAACCCTTGTTAATTTCAGTCTATAATACATGTGTGCTTTTGAGATAAAACTAAGTTTCACTTGGCGTGTACAGTAAAATTGGTACCGTTAGTGTTATTATAAGATACATTCATTTAAAACCTTTGTTGTTTTAAAATTTATGTCATTTATCTGAGACATAACAATAACGGGACCAATTTTACTGCACTAGATGATAGGCGTTGTCTGTTGTACTTTAATGCTACTGCAATAGACAAAAGAGGAAGTATGGTTAGAGCCATTATTAGGTCCCTAGTATTGCAAAATTGTAAAATTCTTCCATATCTAAATATAACCCTAATTTTATTCATTTATGAATAAGATAACATTGTCTTGGCATTCCGTTTCAGAAAAGTCTTATATGATTTTTGGAGTATTTGGTTTTAAATGACCCTTTTACACGATATTTGACAACTTTGATAATTAGCAACAGCCTTACTCAAAAAGATATTTTTTCTCACACCAATAACATCTTTAAAAAAAACATCTGGTAGCAAAATATTTGTTTACTTAAAAAATGGAGAAGTCACCAATGGGGCAATCAAAAACAAAAAGTCGAACAAAATCAGAACTGGTGGAAGCTAATTATTTAAAAATAATAATAAAAAGTTCACAAAAAGATTATTCTTTTTACTTTTATAAACATTTTTAATCAAACTTCTTCTAAATGCATGATATTTGCTTTCTTAAAAACAAAAACGTTAAACAAACTTCAGACATAAAAACTTATATCTAAAAAAAGTCTTAGAACATTTCAAGTAAGTACGACCAACCAGTTATATACCGATGTTCAAAACTTGTAATTCAGTTTCAATATGCGCATTAAGATAAAAAAAAAAAAAAACTAAGTGGAAAAGAGTTAGGCCAAGAAGGCCTAAGTTTTGCCCTTGAATTGGACTATGTTTTGTCATTTCTTCAAACCAATATTCGATCTAGAATTATGCAAGTATATATATAAACAAGGTATTTTTCTGTAAACGTTTTGTGGTAAACAATGCTGATAGTTCAAAAGTATGATATTTCTTGATTATATATGCACTTTAAATCTCTATAGTCTTCTGAAAAATGTTGGTAGCACCCATCAACCAAGATAAATTTATTGTAAAAGATGTATAATGGCGCAAAATACGTCCTTAAGAAACATATTTAGAAAATGTCATTTGAAGAAATATTATGAAAATATTTTAGAGAAGAACTATTTAAAATACCAGTATAAAACAGACAAATATTGGATGAAAAACAAACGGATAAATTTATAAAGCATATTCATCAATAGTCTAATGAGAAATGGTTGATCCCTATTGCATGCAATTACATTCACAATTAAGGGATCAATTGTCTCCCAATTTGCACTTTGTAATGAGCGCTTGAACTGAATGTATAAAGAATAATGATCCTAAAATTTGAGATAAGAGTGTAAAATTTATAACAAACATTTTAATCTAAAAATAAATGATAAATTGAATAAAAAGCTTATCTACATATAAAACTTAAGGGAAAATAAGTCAATACAACATCTATATAATTTTCAATTATAACTAGTATTACAAAACTGAGGCACAACTTTTTTTATATTCACCAAAACCCATTTCTTGACTTCAAAGGGTTTCACTGTTCCATTACGTTAAAACATCAATTCTAGTAGTAGTTTCATCAGCTCTCCTCTAGAGAGAAAGTATAATTTTATTATTCATTTTCCGTAGTCTATATATATACAGTTCAAATCGAACAGTGCTGTTCATTTGGGATGTATAAATACGCAGCCTCTGTTGAAATTACGCAACTTTCGTCAAATTTGAAATTTTAGTATTTCTACGCAGTCTCTCTTGTAATAACTTAACTTTCGTCACCTGTGAAATTTTAGAATTATACCAGTTCATATCGCACATTACTATTCTGTTTAGAAGCATATCTATGCAGTCTCTTTTTAAATTTAGGTAAATACTTAACCTACATCATTTTTTGAAAATTAAGAATTATACAAGCGTTGTTCGGTTTTAATTGTATAACTGTAAATATTGTTTCAGTTAAATCAGAAGAGATTGATATGATTCATTTTACATCATTATAATCATACTGATGAAGGATATCTGTTATCCGAAATATTTACATTTATTGTTTCATTTTTTTAATATTGGTGTTGTATTGTACACTTTTACAGGCATATATATATAAATATGGGAAGCTTTACAGTGTGTACTTTTCTAACTTGAATGGCTATTGGTACTAGCACTGAATCGATATCTCTGTCGTTACTCTCACTTGGTAAACACCAGTTTTATCACTCTCGTTTGGTATATTCTATTATTTGTACTCTCACTTGCTATAAAACACGATTGGTATTCTCATCAGAAAAGTACCACTATTGGTACAGATACTGTTAACATACCTGTCAACATACCACTATTGGTACAGATACTGTTAACATACCTGTCAACATACCACTATTGGTACAGATACTGTTAACATACCTGTCAACATACCACTATTGGTACTGATACTGTTAACATACCTGTCAACATACCACTATTGGTACAGATACTGTTAACATACCTGTCAACATACCACTATTGGTACTGATACTGTTAACATACCTGTCAACATACCACTATTGGTACAGATACTGGTAACATACCTGTCAACATACCACTATTGGTACTGATACTGTTAACATACCTGTCAACATACCACTATTGGTACTGATACTGTTAACATACCTGTCAACATACCACTATTGGTACAGATACTGGTAACATACCTGTCAACATACCACTATTGGTACAGATACTGGTAACATACCTGTCAACATACCACTATTGGTACAGATACTGGTAACATACCTGTCAACATACCACTATTGGTACTGATACTGTTAACATACCACTATTGGTACTGATACTGTTAACATACCACTATTGGTACAGATACTGTTAACATACCTGTCAACATACCACTATTGGTACAGATACTGTTAACATACCTGTCAACATACCACTATTGGTACTGATACTGTTAACATACCTGTCAACATACCACTATTGGTACTGATACTGGTAACATACCTGTCAACATACCACTATTGGTACAGATACTGTTAACATACCTGTCAACATACCACTATTGGTACTGATACTGGTAACATACCTGTCAACATACCACTATTGGTACTGATACTGTTAACATACCTGTCAACATACCACTATTGGTACTGATACTGTTAACATACCTGTCAACATACCACTATTGGTACTGATACTGGTAACATACCTGTCAACATACCACTATTGGTACTGATACTGTTAACATACCTGTCA